ACATACATACATACATACATACATACATACATACATACATACATACATACATACATACATACATACATACATACATACATACATACATACATACATACATACATACAAACATAGATTTATAGATAGATAGATAGATAGATAGATAGATAGATAGATAGATAGATAGATAGATAGATAGATAGATAGATAGATAGATAGATAGATAGATAGATAGATAGATAGATAGATAGATAGATAGATAGATAGATGTAGTATATATGTATATGTATATGTACATGTGTGTATATATATATATATATATATATATATATATATATATATATATATATATATATATATATATATATATATATATATATATATATATATATATCTTGCACGCTGAAAGCGATTTCCTATAGTAAAGGGATTTTTATGACTTGACAACTTGTCTTTGGGCTTAGACCTGTCATATTTAGTAACATTACCAGGAAACGGAAATAGTGCCGAGTCTCAAATGCAGTGACCATGTGCCCGAAATAGAATAATGAAAACTTAATTAGTTTTTGGTATTGTTTAAAAGACAACCTTGTCTGATTTTATGAAGAATCATACACTTCTGCGATAGGCAATAGAACACAGTTTAGGAAATCATCAAGCATACATTTTGTGGAATGCAATTGTATTGAACCAGCAGCAAGAGGTTCCAAATACATCCCTGTGTGATTTTCTCCAAAAGTGAAACTTCTTGTTGTCGATCAGAGGGATAAGCGTTAGGCCTTGTTTCTTTCCCACTTCCTACCTGCGTATATAGAGTATTCCCAGATAATTGCCGCTTTGATGATAACCTACTCTTCTATAAAGGTAATTACAGAAAACTTTACGACATCTATATGATTTAGTTATTGTGTTACTTGAACAGGAGCAGAGTCTACATTAAAAATATTTTTGTTAAGCTGAGTGATTGTCGTTAAGCACGAATAAACCTTAATTTCTTATGACAGGAAAACAAAGTAAATACGTGCCATTTTTATTGTAAACCGGCGAGCTTTACGGGTGTGTAAGGCTCAAGAAAATCTATATTACAGAACATAAAGTTATTAAAGGTTTTTAAACGCACGGTATTTTCCATACGTTGTGCCCTAACAAACTTCTAATTATACATGATGTCTATTTTGATTACCATTTAAGAGTAATTAAATGTAAATTATAAGACTTATGTCAATGTTGTAATAATTTATTAGTTCTAATGATCATGTGCAAAGCAGACGTAATTGCATTTGCCTGGATTTTGTTACTTTAAATTGGTATATCAAGTTATATTAATGAGCCTGAAATTCAACAATTATTATCGCCAGATAAGGGATTTAAAAAGATATATTTGACTTATTCGCGGTGATATGCCCAAAACTACATTTCCTGATGACGCAGGGAAAACAACCTATTTAGCACAAAATTATAGGCAAATATAACCGCCTAGCATAAGCTATAGCTTAAGAAATCTGCTAAAGGTAATTCAGTACAAACCAATTTGTCACAAAGTACGGAACTTTTCAGTTAATTTCTGATGCAAAATCTAGGAATAACGATATAAGTTTAACACTGTTTACTAGACTTAATTGGTACTTAACAGTACATCAGCACATGAAATGTTATATCGCGAAGAATCAGAGTGAAATTTCTTGCCCAGAAAGACATCAAATCCCAGCTAGTACCACTTCGGTCGCGTGACCACTCTGTTGACGTAGTGGTTAAAGCGTCCGCTTCAGGTTCGGACCCCAGCCGAGTCTTTATAAAAAATGATACTAGCAGCTGCCTCGCTGTCAGGATTGGTCGGCCTGTTGTCAGGATAATGTGACTGGGTGGGACATCATGCGACATGTTTGCAGCATTATGTTTCAGAGCTAGACATCACCATTAACTACCACATTGTAGTCATCGTAGCGATATGACTGAGAAATTATTAAAGCAACGCTAAAAATCCAAATCCCACTCAGACTCTTTATTCGCGAGTTCGGCCCGCGAATAAACAGATAACGCGGCAATTCACCTGTGTTGAAAGTATGGACTGATACTAACATTTGTCACACTTTATACATGGAATAAATCGAAATATCGTGTTCAAGGCTAACAAAAAGCCACTTTCCAATGCGCGGTGTGCTTCTTAGTGCACAATCATGACAATAGAAAAAATACTTTTGCAGCGGCTTTCACAATCGTTTCCCCTAAATTATTGTTGTCATTAGTTTGTTTAAATCAGGGAATGTCCTGCACAACCCAGTGTCAAGCACTGGCATTCAGTCTGATGTTACAAATATTGAAACTACTGAGATATTTTTGTACCTTCTTTTATAAATTATAAATTACAAATGACTTATCATATCTACTACTACTACTACTACTACTACTACTACTACTACTACTACTACTACTACTGCTACTACTACCACCACCACCACCAATAATAATAATAATAATAATAATAATAATAATAATAATAATAATAATAATAATAATAATTTTACGATTACTATAATTGTCATTATCACTGTATATTTCTAATAATAATACCAATCATGCATGTTATTAAAATTGATGACCACATATTATTATTATTATTATTATTATTATTATTATTATTATTATTATTATTATTATTATTATTATTATTATTATTATTATTATTATTAATGTTAGACTATTTATCAGAATTATTTAATTTTTCTGTTTCTGTTGACTTGTTACAGGAAAATCTTAATATTCAAACAGTTTATAATACTCTAGATTTAATAATCACGCGGGAGGAGGTCCGCCTAGCACAGAGTAAACATTTCAAAGCCAGGGGGGCAGTTGTTTTAAACAGCGATTTATTTATATGTACAGGCTACATAACTGCACGAATATTAATAATATTATTCATAAACTATTCAATACTAGATATTATCCAGAATATTTGTCAACGGATATCAGTATACCAATTCTGAAGAACAATGATGCAAATATACACTCTTGAGATGCATTTATTTACAACCTGTATTAAGCAAAGTATTTTTATTGATTTTAAATAATTAGAGAAATTAATGGACGAAAATTAATTGTTTTTGAACGAACTAAAACCATACTTAGCTGCATAACCTTAAGAAGTTTGGGTGCCATAGGCACAAACTCTAACCTTAAAAGGAACCAGAATTGCGCCTCAGTTTCTCAGTCTCAGACATAGAATATTGCATTGCATTTCCATGTGTATATTTTTCATTTTGTTAAATTTATTAATATAGTACTAAACTGCTTACACAATCCACACCGAAATTTTCTTTTTATCCCACTGTGGGGCCCTCTGCTGCACGGGAACCTAGGCATGTGCCTGGCCTGAATATGTCTTAAAGCGGCACTGCTTAGCTGAAGGAAACAGGGAAGTTTTATTATATCCCTTAGTATTATTGCTACTGTTGCATGTAGACGATTGAATTATCTTCACTGTAGCTATCCACCAGTTGCAAAATAACTCAATGAATTGCATAACTATTGCCTAAATTGGAAATTGAAGTGAATATAAAACATTAAAAGACAAACAACACCCACCAAATACCCCCCTACCCGAAAAAAAGGTGTGAAAGGTGGATGTCGTGCACGTTATGAAGAATGGTGCCATGACCGTACAGATGTAAAGACTGAATCATTTTTAAGTATCTAGAACGCATATTTTCTTCACAAAAAAATCCTGGCACATGTGACAGTTTTTGCAAACATTGAAACTATGCATACTTTGAAACGATATCTTTCAAAACTTTGGCACAAAAACTTTATCTGGATTGCTTTTTCTGTCTGACTCGAATATAGTTTCCATTCTTATTCATGGGATTGAGTTATTTTATGCCAATGATATTGAAAAAGTTCTTTGTTATTTTGTAAATTTATGTTCGGTACATATAAAACTACGTTAAATACATTGGTATAAAATTAATTAGTATGGAAAATAATAGACATTAAGCTATTTCGAAATGTTAGCCTAGAATTTAGTAATGCCAAAGACATATTCTTAACAATATTACAATCTTTAATTAAGATGGGGAGTAAATCGTGATGATTGGGCTGATAATGTTAAGAAGTTCCTATTTACGTATGGATTTGGTAATATATCGTGTTGTAGGGGTTTGGAGTAGTGAATGATGGAAATATATTTCTTAGTACGCATGGTCAGAGATGTGATGATAATTTTACGCCAACTATTCAGAACAAAATTAAGTCAGTGGAAAGACTGAGTTTCTATCGGTCGTTGAGAATACATTTCAATTAATAAAGATATATTATTGATAGAAGGTAGAGAATTATCTTACACTAATTAAAAAATGCTCATTTACGTTTTGGACTAAAACACTGCTTTAGGATTATTGTGAATTTATTCAAAGATATTCTGGATTATATCATTGTGATCCATGATGACTACTGAGACATCAGCACATTCAATATTCGAATTCATTCGGAACATTCTAAACGTTTAAACTTGTGGTAGGATTATTAGGTCTTAATTCACAATACTGAAGGTTCCTCTTAAATGTAACTATGAAGAGGTGATAACTCACATCAATACGTAATAAATAATAATCAATAAAATATTTGTATCTGAACATCAATGAAAATATGTGCTGTCGAGAGTGCTTTGTGCGATGATGCACTGGTAACTTAGAGAAATAAATTATTTGATAATATTAATAGACTTGTTGATTTCGCTTTTTTCTATTACTTAGTTTAAGACTATAAAGTTGTGTCACGATGTATTTCTGTTACACACTTTTCTATGATGGATATCTATAACGGGGCCAGTGGCCTGTATTGCAAAATAAACTATTATCATTATTATTATTATTATTATTATTATTATTATTATTATTATTATTATTATTATTATTATTATTATTATTATTATTATTATCGTCATCATCATCATCATCATCATCGTTATTGTTGTTTTCGTCATCGTCGTCATCATCATCGTCACCATCATCATCATCATCATCCGCGTCTATGTGGTTTAGTGGTCAAAGCGTCCGCCTCGGATGTTGGAGGTCGCGGGTTGGAACCCCGGCCGAGTCATACCAAAGACTGAAAAAATAGTTCTGCCTCGCTAGGAACTCAGCATTAAGAAGTTAATGTTAGGACTGGTCGGCCTGATGTCAGCATAATGTGACTGGGTGGGACATCATGTTACATGTCTGCAGCATGACATTCCGGTGGTTGACATCATTATAAACTACTATACTGCATACATTGTAGCGATATGGCTGAAAAAAGTATTTAACCTATGTTAATAATCCAAATCACAAACGCGCGCGCGTACATACACAGACACGCACACTCGATCATTATGTACACGACCTCTTCAGTGTTGAAATCGTTCATGTTTTTGTGTAATATTATCAATTCGCAATCTAATACAATATTTTTGCATTTTAGTATTGTTTCGAATATTAATTGTATGCATGATTAGGAGATTATAATCAAAAATGAAATTAACTGAGTGTAAAATCAAGGGACTCAAATCTCTAAGAAAGGTAGGAATTCTTATTGAAATTGCCAATCAATGGATATCCTAATTGTTGATTGTGGACTACCTCTCTCTCCTGGCTGGTACGGTCAAACCTCGCCCCACCCCTCAATCATAGTAGTCAATTGCAACATATTTTAAAATAAAGCGTTGTGATAGGAACTGCCATTATTTAATTGTCCTCGGTTTCTTGCTAATAACCGTACTAGAAAACGGGTTTACTGGGCATGGTGCATTGAATTAAAGTAATTTTAAACGTATCATTTACATCAGATTCTTGGCCAATGCCAATAAATCACAACTATTCGTACAATATAAACCCCCAGACCTGTGATTACCAAAGAACCAGACAAATTGTGAAGAAAGCCCCGACAATTTTCCTGTCAATCTGAGTTAACTGGAAGGATAAGGAGACTGTACCATAAAAGGAACTTAAAAAGTCATTAAGAACAAGTGTCAATGATTAGTAATTTTCAGTTATAGTACTTTTTGACAATATGCAGGTATGTTCATCTCTTAAAAAATGACTTTACGATGATTCAGCTTCCTTTATCCTTTTCTATGTCAAATAAGTGCGATGCTTTTTTTATTTACAAGAGCCTTCATAGTTTGACCTTCAGTGTAGTCCCATAGAGATAATTTTCTAGAAATACAAGATCTAATTTTAAGTTCTGATATCATCTGAGATCATCAATGTTTTTGTGTCCTGGTGAGTATAATAACTATGGACACATAAAGATTGAGGAACGATAAAGGTTGATATATGAATATTATCACAATATACAGTACTTAGAAGCGTCATGGTCCAATAACTCACTCCAGAGTTTTCTGTGAGCTTGTTGCAAATGGCATCATCCTAAAATTGTTTTTGATTCGAGTTTCTACAGACTAAAACATAAAAACTCTCAGTGACAGCTGTCAGATACGGTTAGCAAAAGTAACTATCAGATATAGGAAGACAAGTAGTTGCTAGTACCAGAATGATCCAAATTTTTGTGTATGTCTCAAATGCTTTCAGGTAGATTATGTTCTCAGTTCACCCTCGTATGTTTCCCTGTGTGTTTGATTATAAATAGCTAATATTTGTTTGTAGCAAATAATGTTATACAGTGTACAACAATTCATTTTAGTTGTTGTTGACAAATTTTCTTCCAAAAACAAACAGCTGATCAGAACGTGTTCTTTTTCCCCTACCTTCTGTTTTCCAAGATTTATATCAGATAGTGCAAATTGTTGGAAATTGTGGAGGAACACCATGATTCCAAGAGTTTGTTTCATACGTTTCATTGATCAGGCTATTCTTTTCGCCATGCTAACCTAGCTCGCTTGAATATGGATTTATTGAGCGTGGTGCACAAATCAGTAATATTTGAAGTGCCAGAGAAGTGGCGGATTTCAACATTCAGTGAAAAACACAAATAACCCTTTCTGAAACTGGAACATCAAAGACAAAAACTTGAATTCCCATGCATTTATACATTCTGGTGTTTTAGCTATCGGAAGCAGAGTCATCGATTAAAGGTTGGTTTTTATTTCAATGTACTATTTTCTTCTGGCAAACGTGACTTCATAATTTGGGATGTATACTGAAACGCATTTGACCTTAAACAATATCGGTATTATAGGTCGTAATTTGTTACTTTTCTTTGTTTGTTCTCATAACTTCGTATTTTGACGTCATGGAAATTTTTTTTTTGTTTTGGCATATTCAAGTCTTCTGTCAATGCTAAGGTGTCATTTTATATTGTCGTTCGGGTATCATTTATTATATTTTGTTCCAGGGTGTAAATTAACGTCTTCATTCATTGCATAGCTCAACCTAAAAGTAACTACGAAAGGAATAACTTGTCTGTTGTCTGGGTCCTTTCATTGGGTAAACTTCATTATGTGATACCGATGTGTTCAAATTTTTAACTGCATAACAATCTTATATTCACATATCTTTACTATACTTTGTGGTGGAGTGGATTGAGGTGGGGTGTGGCGGGGATGGTGTTTGTTCCCGAATTTTGGTGTTCAAAATATATAGACATTTTATATACATAGTAGCACACGATATTCCTTACAGTTGATAGTAGTGCCAAATATTATTGATTCTATATATGAAAGGATGATACGGTCTTGGAACTCAAGAGTATTTTTGTTTAACAAAAACAGAGCTATCAAAGATCGTTCTCCTAAATGATGCAAAAATTAAACTTGCCTGACAAAATGATTGATCAATCATATCATTGAGCAATATGGTACTAGTCACTACTATTATCCAGACATGTGGAAGCAAGGTGGTACTAATAACTACTATTATCCTGGCACATGTGGATGCAAGGTGGTACTAATAACTACTATTATCCAAGCAGATGGGGATGCAAGGTGGTACTAATGACTACTATTATCCAGGCACATGGGAATGCAAGGTGGTACCAATGACTACTATTATCCAATACGTAGAGATACAAGATGGTACCAATGAATACTATTATCCAGGCACATAGGGATGCAAGGTGGTACTAATGATTACTATTATCCAAGCAGATGGGGATGCAAGGTGGTACTAATGACTACTATTATCCAGGCACATGGGAATGCAAGGTGGTACCAATGACTACTATTATCCAATACGTAGAGATACAAGATGGTACCAATGAATGCTATTATCCAGGCACATAGGGATGCAAGGTGGTACTAATGATTACTATTATCCAAGCAGATGGGGATGCAAGGTGGTACTAATGACTACTATTATCCAGGCACATGGGGATGCAAGGGGGTACCAATGACTACTATTATCCAGGCACATAGAAATGCAAAGTGGTAATAATGACTATTATTATCCGGGCACATGGGGATGTTTAAAACAAAAGAGAAACAGTGAGACAACTTGCCATTAGCTTTTCATGGGTCGGTGGTTCTTCCCTGGGTTTTTCAGGGTTCTTCCTCCACCAGTTAAAATGTCCGCCATGTATCTTGCGCTGAGAAATGATGTTAAGACTTACAACAAAAACAACTACAACAACAACAATAACAACAAAGAAATATAAATGGATAAATAAACATGCTGGGTTATTTGAAATATTTTGTTTGTTTGATAAGTTAGAAAAATGGTTTGGTCTTCGTTTTAGTATAAGATTCACTATGTTCCGATCTTAATTGTTCTATTCATTTAATTAGAATCTAATAAAATCAATCGATATATAACACCAGAACAACATTTATTACATGGAATACGTCTCGTTATTAAACTTGTTTTCTATAATATGCATATTTCTAGTAATCTGCATTTGTCGTCTGCGACTAGTTCTTTCTTTTTATCACAGCCTCTCTTCATGTTTTTTGGTACATTACGTTCGTTTCGTAATTTTTGTTTCAACTAAATAGTTACGTACACCATTCCAATAAATATCTCGAATACCCAATAACCTTGAGTAAAATGGTAACCAGAACAAGCGACATTTTATAAAGGTGCGGAATCAGGCAACTTTGAATACATTAGTATATGCAAAAAGCCCTCTCTCCTCACCCCTCAAAAAAGCAGAGGCTTTGATTGACAACAGGCAGAATTAAAGTACGGTTGAATCAACACGCAAAATTAAAATATTATGGTATCAAATATTATGGTTAATGTGTGATATTACCGTATTAAGTTCTTAGTTAATCTTTAAAGCGATTAATTTATTTTGTTTTAAATGTTTTAATTTTCTGTTTTTATTAAAAAAATTCTTTTAAACGTCTCTATTTAAACAAACATTAATAATTTGAATTGAAAATTTGAATGGAAGTGAATTCACGTATTAGTTGAAACAAGCCCTCCAATACAAAATGATAGTGGACACAAAAATAAGAACAAAACGCATTTATGCATAAATTTTGATGAACCACATATTTCAGAACTGAACTCAAAGTACCCTTTCCACCCACACGAGGATTTTCTGCAACATTGACGATGCAAATGATTATCTAGGAGAAGTCTATTATCCGTATACAGAGATGTAAAAAGGACTTTCATGGATGATCCAGTTTAGGTTTACCAAGCCTTTTAAAATGTACAGTCTTTTCAAAGTTCATAACAAATGCAATTGCCATGTGTTTATAATTCTGTGTTCTGAATCGGTAAAAGGCTTGAAACTGAACTGAGCTATTGTAGTCTGGAGATTTATCAAGACATTCATGAAAACGAGTCCCGAATGAAAGCCACACTCAAAGCCTCGTTCAGTAGACAGGATACTATAACAGCACGTGGTATTTTCAACCTATATTTCAAATTAGATGAAACATACATGTTGAAATTCTTGAAGAACACGCTTGCAATTTGCTTAGAAACTAATAGAGGGCCCTCAGAATAAAGAATCACTGTAAGTAACATTTTAGTGCTGTGATAATTACTATGAAAACACGTTCGTGCTGAAAATAACATAATTTTCAAGCGCTGAATGGTACTAACAATAAAGCAGAGGATATTGGCTGTTCGAGCGAATGTGAAACAGAAGCAGAACATACTAGCCAACAATTACATCTTATGTGTACAGGTAAATAATCATTAATACAATGAAAG